AGTAGACTTCCGATAATCCGGAACCTATGGGACCTAGGTGGTGCCGGATTATCAAATATGCCGGACTATCAGGAGGTACTATAAACTGGTTATATATATACTGTATACATTAAATACTGTATATAAAGTGTTCTTAACCCTTTTTATTGTACATACTATATACAGTAAACTGTAATGTTTTAGGTTTTTTAAGCCTTTTTTACCCTTTTTGCTCAGTTCAGCTGCTGCCGCTGTTACCTTGTGACTCATTTTTTGCCAAAGCTCACTCACTAGGCTCTTGCCATTTGGATGCCGGACTATCAGGAGTGCCAGACTATTGGATGCCCGGACTATTAGAGTTTTACTGTAATGGGTTAGGTTGTATATATATATGCAGGCAGGGATCAAAACGAGAAGAGTAGGATTTTATTTCTTACACAGCCATCTAGCCTGAATGATCAATACAATCATAGATATTCCCTGTGTCATATATGTGACATTCATGCAAAGGCTATTTTATAAATCCATCACCTTTAGTTGCTATATTAAAGTCAATAAAACATTGTTTATAGTGCACTTTAAAACTTTTGTCAGAATGGTCTGAACTGGAATTCTCCATTGTGCAATTTATTAACTCTCTTAATTAAATCTCTAACTTTTCTAACTTGTCAGAAAACGCAACACTAATAACCCAAATAATATACTGCAATTGGACAACCTCTTATCTCTGTAAGTCATTCATTTATTAAGAAAAATGTCAAGTATTTTTAAAAAATCTCTCTTCATGATGGTTTTACACTGGACATTCAGAATACATGATGATCTCAGTTATGCTATTGTAAATTGGAAGGATCTCCATTACAGTCAGTTGAGTGAATGGATATTCCTACTCAATTGAGTAACATCCTATTTATGCTGATATACTGGAGGTAGAGTGGCCAGATGTCCAGTATTCAACCAAGCACCTGGTCTAAAAGGGACCCTTCCCAGCCTGGTGAAAATAAGAGAGGAAGAGTGAGGGAGGGTAAGCAATAGAGAGAGGAGGAATGAAGTGAGGGGGTGTGGCTTTGGAGAAGGGCTGAGGCAAGAGAGTTCAATAAGAAATTTGGCACTGCTGGAGACCATAATCTGTTCTATGCTTCCACTTTTTATAACTTTACCCGTACTGTGTTGGTCTGCCTCACTTTCAGGTGATTACTAGAAACCTGTTCTAGTTCCTCTGAACCCCCCCCCCGAAACCGACCACATGGTACCTGAGGGTATGTCTACACTACAAAGTTAGTTCGAACTAACATATGTTAGTTCGAACTAACTTTGTAGTGTAGACATACCCTCAGGTACCATGTGGTCGGTTTCGGGGGGGGGGTAACAAGAGTTAACACGGCTACCCTTCTGAGACATGTCTCTGTTCACTGTTTTTATGTTGATAGTCTCATTCAGACCATCTCCTAAATTTATTCCAAGAACAGTTAGCATTTTCATAATAATCAGTATATTCACCTACCAGTTTTCTCCTCCACACTCCATCATTCCAGCAGAAATAAAACTTAATGCCTTAGCTTAGATGTTAAAAGAACTCTTATATTACTTGAACAGAATGAGACTTTTTAGGTCAACTTTGTGTTAATAGCGTATGGTGGCAGAGCTAATGTCAAATCGGCATCTTCTAGTGTCTAACTGGATTGTGTAAGCTGTATGAAAGCAGCCTGAGAGATTAATAAACTGAATGCCACTTCAAACGTTTCAGGCCCTTCTACCAGAGCACTGACTTCATCAATGACATGCTTCAGTAAGGTCCTGCTGATAGATGTATAGCATGTACATGGTCTTTACTAGAGACTGCTCATTTATTCCAGTAAATTCCACACTGCCACCCCAACATGTTGATCTGTTTGCTAGACACCATTTGTGGAATTTACATGTATAGGAGTGTGAAGAAAAAGAAACAATTATTCACCTCAGTAACAGTGGTTCTTTTAGATAAGTCAGTTTATGTGGATCTCACAACGAGCCCTCCATCCCTGCAGCTTGGAGTTTATTATTGACATTCCAGGCAACAAAAAAAAGTGTTGGTATGGGGGGTTGTTCTGCACTTGGGAGGAGTAGCAGGAGAACATGAGAATTGCATGTGCGACCCCTAGAAGATACCCCGAGAGGAAAAATTTCTGCTCTCCTGTGCAGGGGCACCAGCACATCATTAGTGGAGTCCACATGCACAGACTGTCTTGAAGAATTGCAGTTACTATAAGGAAAGTAACCATTTTTCCAGTGTGTGCCTCTATTGAAAGAATGCAGCTGAGGTGAGTCTCCAGGCTTCTCCAATAAAGAGCCTACCAAATAAACAACGCTGAGTCTTTGAAGGCAGGCACCATGATTTCTGTATTAATCAACCCATATGAAAGGGATGGCAAGAAGCAAAAACAATTTAAGGAAAAGCAGCATACATTATTATTTGCCTTAAAGGGGCAATAGGAAAATGGCCACAAAAGACATAGACCGGGTCTAAAGATACAGAAGTAATACAAGAAGCAAGTGCAAAGCTTGCAGTAACACAGGTCCTCAAAGATATAAAAGAAATGAAAAGAGATACAATATTAGAAGAAATAAGTATCTGTGTCTTATTTACATATATAGTCATTTGCTGAAATAATTATTCCAGGGCCACAAAAACTGTGGCTAATAACAAATCACAAGTGTGATGCTCTCCCTCAGCATCAATACAAACATTCCAAAGATGTTTAACAAAAAAGTACAAGGCTGTCGTACTGACACTGATATCTCTATAACTCTATTCTTGTTTATGGCCAAGACAAAGAAGGAGCACTTTTGTTGGTAACAAAAAAAATAAAATGTTCACTCTTTCAGACATGAGTCATCTTCAAGCAGATTTCAGAGAAGGCATTGAATTGCACCCCAGTGAAGACACATCTCTCAACTCTGTTGCCTGGGTGACAGTTCCCATCATGATAGCCCTAGTTCTTATAATAGCCCTTCTGCTTGTCAATCAGAAGAAGCAGTGGATACCAGTGTCCTGTTACAGAGCCCCAACAAAGGTACAGTATTAACATTTCTATTTCCAGATTTCTGCTTTTCTGGGGGGGTGGGGGTGGGGGAGTGGCTCCTGAAATATACTGTAGGATACATTTGAGTCCAATTAAAGTTAGCTAATTTAAATGTTTTTTCCTTGTCTCAAACAGTTTGCACTAATTCAGAACAGTTATGCTTATGTCCAATGAAATTCACCAGTTATGTACTCCATATACTATTGAATTTTAGGGAGGTACAAACCAAGCTAAGCATACAAAAAAGTGTGAGTGGATAAATGACTGCTATAATCATATTAGTGCAGACACTGATTGCATTTTTAAAATAGACTTCCACTAATATAATTACTATTGTATGCAGTACATGGAGTTTTTTCAAATTGTGTGTTATAAAAATCCTGAGAGTCTTTAAATTGCTTCATAGGATATGAATAAATGTTAATTAAATTGAAAACATTATTAGTGCATTGCAATTATAAAAAATATATGAAAGTTTGGAAATTCAAAGTTAAGAACTAGTTGAAAGAAATATTGTACTTACAGTTTCATAAACAACCTTAATGCTGACTCCATATAAAAACCCAATCTCCATAAAGTTACCAACAACTCACCTATCATACCACAAAATAAATGTATCTTGAGCCACATTTCTAACTACTTTATCAAGATATTCAACTACCTTATCAAGATTTTCAAAACCAACTATAGTAAATATGTATATAACCAAAGCTATTGGGATTAAGTCTGTTAGAATTACATTATTTTGGCACTGATTCATACAAGACATACCATGTTATTAACTTCCCTGTTCGAATAGATAGATGCTCCGTTATGCTGTCTGCTCACAACTGTGAATGCCAGTATCAGGTGAAACTCAGAAAACAAGGGCAGATACCATAAAGTGGTAGTATAGACCATAATTAGATTTCACCAAGCCAATAATAAATGCACTCCTGGATCTTTTTACCGGTATTACTATGACATCACAAACAATCCCCTTATACTTTCCAGTGTGGTCTGCCACTTAAGTTCCCTATAAGTTGTATGACCACACAGCTGCCTAGTTAGTACTGCGTAGGCATTCAAGGCACCTGCACAGCCAGGAAGGAAGGCAACCCCCATCCTCAACCTAGCCTGCACCATGGTGGCAAAGAGGGGGACAGCCTAAACCAGAAGCCTCTCCCCAGCTCAAATGCAACCTCAACCTGGACCCAGACTCACCTCGCCATGAAGGGAGCGGCTTGGCCCTACCCATGCCCAAGCCTGGCCATGGAACCCCAACTCATGCCCCTGCCTCTGTCCCAGCCCTAAGCCCTTCATCGCTGACTTCACCCCAGAGCCCATACCCCCAGACAGAGCCCTTTCAACATAGCCCTCTGTTCCAGCTCTGAGCCCCTCATCCCTAGCCCCAGCTTAGAGCCTGCAACCCCAGCCAGAGACCTTGAACCCCAGCCCTCTGCCTCAGACTTCGGCCCCATCCCACACTCAAACCCCTTGGCTGTGCCCCTCCCACATGAATTTTATGTGAACCAATATGAAGGTGATATGTAAATAGATACTGTCTCTACACCAAACACAACACTGGCAGCCAGCTGTTCTAATAAACTAACTGAATGTTTACTAGCTAAGAAAGAGAAGTGAGCTATTCAGAGGTTAAAGCAAGTAAAATACATTAACAGGTGAGTCTAAGTTTATAAATCTGAAATGAAAGCAGAGATGCAGTAATGTGCTAATTTTCTATATGTTTCTCGGGGTTCCTTCTGATATCCAAATAGTTCAGAAATGCTGGATCCTTTATTGAATCATATTTATAGCTTTTCCATGCAGAAAGCAATGTGAAAAGAATCTTTACTCCTTCACAATTTCTTGCTTTAAAATTAGCATTTTCTGTTACAATCAGGAAGTCATTCATTAGCATTTCCAAGGTTCCATTCATATTTCATTAATTCAATGAGATATACACAATGTAAAAGGTAATGTAATAACAAATAACAATCCTTCATTAGCTTTCCTGACATGTACACATCATGTTGATTCTTACCACATCTTTGATTAGGATTCCTAGGGGGCTGCGCTCTATGCTCGCCAATCCCCATCTTGCTTGCCACTTTCGCGGCCAGAGAGCCTGTAAATCTTGCACTGAGCCCAGCTGTGCTCTCCATGGCCCCAAGTCCCAAGCTACATGTTCCTTGTCTCTTACAGTCATTCTACAAAGTAGCATGTAAATGCACAGTGTAGCAACTGGAGAGAAACCTGCGGCCCATGGGCCACACACAGCTCATCAGAATAAGCCACCCGCAGACCACCAGACAGGTTGTTTGCCTTGCATCTGCAGGTAGAGCCACCTGCAGCTCCTATTGGCCATGGTTCACTGTTCTCAGCCAATGGGAAGAGTATATAACACACAACAGATTAGGGAGGAAATATCTAGAACAGATAGGGGAAGAGAACACAGAAGCAGTGCCCAAATCTCTGTAAAAAAGGATATGTTTGCCCCACAGAGAAATTTGAGTAGGAACAGCTGTATTATATCTTCTCTAAATTTATCATTGGAGCAGATGAGAGAGTGTGGCAGATCTTCACTAATTTTCTGATTTCATATCACATCAGATGTCCCCTAAATGTAGTAAAATGTTACTTTTTGCATTGTTCTGTCAGAAGAAAAATCAAAGTTATTTAAAGACATATTCTGATCCTTTTCTCACAGTTAGAAGAATCTTGCTCTACAAATGGTCCTAATAACTTAAGTGGAACTACTCTGTATAGCAAAAATCTCAAAATCTGGCACCTAAGTTGAAAGGGCTATATCTAAGTTTAACTTATGTGAACAAGTGAATAAAGGTTTGCTGGATCAGGCCCTACATTTGCTAAGTAGTTGAAATCTACCAGAAACTTTGTTTTTGGTGTTATAACTAAATTTAGAAAAATCTATTACCTTATCCAGTCTTGTTTCAGAAGCATTTTTGTTTCAATATCTAACACCAGCATAGTGTGACACATTGGCTTAGATGTATGCAGTTTTCCCACAATTATAGGCAAGTTATCCTCTGGAGACTTCTGAATATGCAAATGGTCACATTTTATTCAAGATCTCACCTTTGTTTGACAGAGTTATTTCCTCCAAATATCCCTAATTCTTTTGTACTTCTGTCTGTTAGCTGGAGGATACTTACTAGTAAGTTTCAACAACTGGGACATTTCTTAGGATACTGTTGTACATATTCACTAGTCTTTCTGACACCCTGACTCCTCTCTGTTTTCTTTAGAGAGCATATTAACAACAGCACTTAAATCCCGCCATTGTTTGCTATCCACTCTTCCCCTCCTACATAATCATTCTTAATTATAATAATTTATATTGTTTCTGTATACCGTGCAAATGATACAAGAATGAAAATAAGGTCTCTGGTGTAGAAAGGTTACAATCATTTTTGTGCTTGAGAGTTCTCCTGTTCCCTATAATAATTTTCTTTATAGATAGTCTTGAGCAGATAGGCCTTTTTGGATCCTCAGTATTCTATAGGTCAGTGCCCATTACAGTTCTGTATGGGACACGATTTTCCTCGCTTTATGGCATATTGAGCATGTGGCTTCTCACCATTAAGAGAAGCAGATGAATAATTCTCACAGTATAACTACATTAGAAATCATACTTAAAGATAAATCAATTAAGAAGCCCTTTATAATTGTAACAAATCAGATCGCTGAGACTGACACAAGCCTTTGATCTGTTATTCTTTTTGAAGTCTTGCCATCAATGCATTAGTCACTTCAGCCACATAACCCTGAATCTCTGCAAAATCCAATAAACATGATGGTTTTCTTTCCCAAAAATGGAGTGTTTTTAGCTAGAAACCACAAGCCTCCTTTCATTTGAACTATTGGCAGCTTGTACGAGAGAAAACAACAGAAGGAAATGTCAGCCATAAAATTTTCATCCTACACAAGTGATGACATTTTACTTTATATCCAAAGCAAACTTATATCAGAATAACTTAAAAAATAAAACATCACTGTTTTAGGATACAGTTGACAGTACCAGAACAGAAGTCCTGATGCTAGCCATAATGATCCTAAAGAATATAGATAAATGGACATATTTAACTCTAATAAAAAAGGCTTAGAGATTTCATATAAGGCAAATTACATGAAATCAATCCAAAACCTCAGAGATCTAAGCGTTTTTTCTCTTTAATAGATGAAATGGAAACTGTACAAATTAATCTTACCAAAAATTGTATTCCTTAATATTGAAAGAGGAAGCAACTATAGATGAGCCATTATTTTAAATCTTTTTAATACCAAAGTAGATTTATACTAAGTGTGACTGGACAAGAGTGAGTTTGCTGTCTTTCCAATATAAAAAGAGGCTTTACAGAGAAGTGTAATGTTTTGGCCCTGATCCTTCAAAATTATCTGTGGATTGAACCTTTAGACCTACATTGAGACCTGCTAAAGTTAATGGGACTCAACACAGGCATAATTGTGTATTAAAGCAGATATTTCACAGAAACAGGGCATACATTAGAGACTAACAAATATATAGGATCACGAGCTTTCATATGTAAAACCCACCTCATCAGATGAGTAGGAGTGGAAATTTCAGAATCCAAGTTATACATACCAGCAAAAGCAGATTCCTGCCGATTGTAGAACCCATGTTAATGAAGCTAATTAAGTAGTCTGGATGTGTCCCATTCATAGATTTTGATGCGAAATCAGAATGTCAAAGGCATGGGAAATTGGCTTTTTATTTGTTAACCAATTAATATCTTTATTGAAGCCCAGATTGACAGTGTCAGACTTGTAAATGAATTCCAATTCAGCAGTCTCTCTCTGAAACTGGGTGGTAAAATCCCTTTGTAGAAGAATGGCTACTTTTAAATCCATTATTGAATGTCCAGGGAGGTTAAAATGTCCCCCTACAGGTTTGTGTGTGTTACCATTCCTGATATCTGATTTGTGTCCATGAAGTCAGTTGAAACTGGGTTCTCTTCACCTTTGAAGAAGCAAGTACTAAGTGTCTCAGATTGGGTGCCTAATTACTAAGGAACCAAAAATTAGTGGATAGTTTTGCAAATTTCAAGTGAGCACAAAAACTTCTACAGC